ATCCATGATTCATCGTTCATCACTCGCATTGGTTCCAGTGTCTAAGAAGTAAATCGGTGATAGGTCCTATAGACAACTACGTGGTGAAGTTATGGACAATGCAGTAAGGGATAACTTCACCCATTCTTTTTCATCTTCTGTAGAACATGTTTTGATTGTCTGTTATTTCTTACATCTTGTGTTTTTCAGAGATAGAAAATTGTAAAGTTTGACTATGAAAATCTTGTAAAAAGATTTAGTAGAAAGGTTTTTTTGTGATCCAGGGTCACAAATCAGGAAAAATACTACATACAAACAAATCACTCCCTGATTATATTAGATCATTTAGATTTCTGTGTTACTTATTAACCTTATTAGTGTGCATTCAGAAATACAATGTTGACCTGAACTGGACATAGTTTTTGTATAATTGCTTTTAAAACTGTTAAATCTTGTAAATGTTAGAACCGTTATACAATCTTTTAGAGAACTACACCTGTTGCTGAGGCCTAGGGGAAACATTGATAAGCAGGCATGAGCTTTGACCACCTCTCAAAACAAGAGACCAAAAAGAAAAGGTGGTAATTTGTCTCATTGCCAGAGGGCAGTATCACCTTCTCATGATCATGCTTCCCTTCCTCCAGTTCTCTCGCCTCTGTCTTTCTGTGACACTTTTCTAAAAATACGGAAGGAATCACCCATCCCCCCCCCTCCATCTTTGACATATTGTGTTCACTGTAACTGAAGCCTCTCTCTCTCTGTCTTCTCTACTCTTTCTCTCTCTTTCTTTCAGGCACCCCATTTTTTTTTCCTTGTGCCAATGTCATCGCCTCTCAAGCTGTGATCTCCAGGGACCTCCGAGATCAAACAATCTAACGGAAGTGGTGAGATCTGCAAAGAGCTGGACTTTGAAGGGTTTGAGAACATTCCAGAAGTCTATGATCTATCTTAGAGTCACTCTGATTCATGCAACTCAAGTCTATCTGATTCAAGCCTCAAATAGAAAAACATTACTGACATTAAAACTCCCCGAGTCACAGATACAGTAAATTGTGGCCTAACAAAATATGTTTTCTAATCAAACAATTATCGTAAAAAACTGAGCCTAAACATGAAATGTTTGTCGTATTTGTTGTAAGCTCAGTAACAACAAATATGGATAAGATCAAATTAATGACCATGGAAACTGAGCATAATAGTATTTTAAGAGCTCAATGCAACCATTTTCAAAATTACACCCATTTCTTTCTGACACCGCAAACAGCATGAAAATAAGCCACTTCACTGATTAATTGTGCAATTTCAACATGGGAAATTCTATAGTGAGGCACAGGAAGACAACAGCGGTGTTTTCAAACACTCATTCCATGTGCATGAGTGTGAGACTCAAGGATGTCTCATTTAGCCCAAACTACAGTGGAGGTTAGGAGATATTTTGTGCTCTGTATATAAAAGCCTCTTGGTCACATTTCAAAACCATTTTGTAATTATCATTTCCCACAGACATGAGAGTTGCCTCATTCAGCTGTCTATCTCACAATAAATCCATCCCAAAAAAGAAATAATTACTTTTAATGGCCGACAGCTCCTCCATTGGGACCGCTCATTGAGACAATACAAAAACTAGCCGTCTCTTCCAGCAAAACATGACAGTTTATAACGCAACACCATTTGCATGAAACTCAATGCGATTTAAGCTATAATAACAACTGTGCATGAAGAGCCAACACCTGTTTTAGTGATGCTGATGGTGAAAAAAACTGCACAAACTAGATGGAATCATCTATTTGTGACATTTCCAAGGTGTCAGGGGTATAAGGGAAGGTTGTGGAACTGTGTGTGTTGTATTGTGATATCTCTCTGAGCCAGATCCAGCCAGGGAACTTGGAAACAGGAAGACCCTACTAGCTTTTCTGTGAAATCATGGAAAAGGACAGAACACTTTTCCATCTGGAGCAAAACCTATAGCGCACAAACAGCCTTCCAGATCACAACAGACACATGTGACATAAACATACTTTATGTTTAAGTAGGGATGAGATGACATTAAAATGACACCACAAATAAAAGCAAAAAATATTTCATAAAAATATCAAAATAAATCGTTTGTTGGTCCAAATCTGTAGGACTTGTATTCTGTGGAAAACAAAAGAGGATATTTTAAAGAATTTTTCAACTGTTTTTTTGTCATTCAATGATAACACAAAGCCCATTGACTTTCATTTTATGGACAAAACATACTGACAAATTCTTCAAAATATCTTGGTTGTATTTCACAGAAGAAATAAAGTCATACAATTTTGAAATGACAAATGTGTAAATGGTGACTTAATTTTCTTTTCTTTTCTTTTATTGTGAGCAACCACTTCAATTGGTGATAAATGAACAGTCTATACATTACAACACAGTGCTGATCTGATTTGATCTGGTGCCAGATGCACAAATGTAACTGCTCAACCCGGTCTCATCCCAAGACGTCATATAACTGACATTTTGGGACGTCTTTTGACCATACGTCAATATTCGCCTTTTTAGGGCCCCCTTAAACGTAGGTAGATGAGGTTATGGGATCCATCCTAACTCTACCCCATACCTAAACCTAACCCTAAACCTAACCCGTCACCTAACTGACGTTAAAGGTAAAGCGTCAGTTGTATGACGGCCCGGGATCGCCATCTATACCGACGTTTAAGGGGGCCCTAAAAAGGCGGATATTGACGTATGGTCAAAATACGTCCCAAAACGTCAGTTATATGACTTTTTGGGATGAGACTGTGTTAAACTGCTAAGTTAAGACTGTCTTAAGAATTAGTCTGGCCAACCAGCACTTAGTTGTGGCTTATCAGTCTTACTTGTTGGATTCAAATAGACCAATCTACCTTTTTATCTAACTGACTTAGGTATGACCAGTCTTAAGGGGGAAAAATAGATGGCGTAGAAGTTTATGCAACCATGGTCCAAATAAAGACTGGTCCAAGCTAAAGTCAAATTTCTTATTTGTATTTTTTTTTTTTTTTGTGACTCATGCAAATCCAGACTTGAACTCAGATTTACACCAGATTCAAATACCAATACGATGGCCCTGAATCCCTGATGAAGGTCTGTTTAGGCTGATATGCGTTTCTTAATATGTAGACCTGCAAATAAATGCTTTTTGCATAGTGCTAACTACTGAGAAATTCAGATATTCAATAGAGTGGTACTTAAAAGTCATTCATAAACTGGTTAGTCCTGTTTGTAAAAAAAAAAAAAAATTGAGGATTTACTCACAATTGTATTTCAATTACGCGCAACTCAACAATTTCCACTTAAAGGGTTAGTTCACCCCAAAATGAAAATTCTGTCAGTAATTACTCACACCCATGTTGTTCCCAGCCCGTAAGACTTTTGTTCATCTTTGCAAGACAAATTAAGACATTTTTGATTAAATCTGATCACTCCTCCATAGGATCTTAAGAGATTGAAACTGGCCGGCCCAAAAGTTATTGAAGACATTGTTAATATAGTCTGAGTGACTACAGTGGCTCAATCTTAAGTTTATCAAGCGACGAGAATACTTTTTGTGTGCAAAAAACAAACAAAAATAACGAATTTATTCAACAATTCATTTCCTTCTCTGTGGGCTGTGAGATTTCACGTAATGAAACGTAATGTATGTACAACACAGAAGCTTTATGCAGTTACACTACGTGAAATCTCACAGTAAAACTGCACATTTAAGAGTGGCCTTTTGTGGACACCTGTGCATTAATCATACTGTCCAATCAGCATCTTGATATGCCACACTTGTGAGGTGGATGGATTATCTCATCAAAGGAGAAGTGCTCACTAACACAGATTTAGACAGATTTGTGAACAATATTTGTGAGAAATAGGTGTACATAAACAAAGTCGTAGATCTTTGAGTTCAGCTCATGAAAAATGGGGTTTCGCATTTATAATTTTGTTCAGTTTATAAATGGCCTAAAGTGGAAATTGTTGAGTTGCAGTAAACTTAAAGGAAAGACAATGAGGACGGTGTGCTGAACATGACAGATCCTGCGTCCACATAAAACTATTTTAGGAAAGCACTTTGATGTCTTTAAACATCTCTAACTTCAGCACCCTTTGGTAGAAATCTTATTTCACGCTGCTCTCCTTCAGGAAGTGAAGTTCTCAAAGACAAGAGAAAATAACAGGCTTGCCACTATAGATTTTTGGCGTGGCTCTCCTCACATATACCTTTAGAGCCGAGTATGGTGTGCACAGGCTAGCCCAAAACCACAACCCCCTGTGGAGCTAAGAGGACCCAGCCCATGTCTAACCCTGTCTGAGAATCAAACATCCAAGACCTACAATCAATCACTTTATGGAGCTGGAATGTGCTGCATTGAAACGAATAAAACAAATTTGTCAACAATCAGATCTGACACACATCTCCAGTTTCCACTGTAACACGAGACGGAGCTCAAGAAACACCCCTATGGTTACTTAATCACTTATAATTACTAGCTTCGCTGCTCATCGTGAGATAGATAATAATAATAATAATAATGTAAGTTCTGTCTTTCAAGGGAGCTTTTCAAAATTACTTTCATTTGAATCCACCCGTTTCACACGAACAAATTAGGAACGTTTGTCTGACTACAGAGCAAATATATTTTCTCAAAATATGTTATTGTTCTAGACATCTTTACTATGGGCTGTTCTAGTTATGCATTTCCCATTTTCATTTTTTTTTTTCTTTTTTTATGGCATAAGACTGTACAATTCATCTACCTTGTAAAGAGGCAACACCGACTTTTGGTGAACTAAACCTTATCCCACACACATATGATGTGAAACATAAACAGATTTGTGCATGTTCTTGAAGTCATCAAATTTCATTAAAAAAATGGTCTGGATGGATGGACGGACAGACAGACTGACAAATCTAGCTGTGGTGATTATTGGTCATTCCTGAGAGACAATGCATATAGACGTGGGCCAGGTTAAATTAAAGGTTGGGTCTTGGTGTGGTTCAGACTCACCTGCCCAACAGGTCTGTGGATGAGGTCTGAGAGTGGCCGGAGGCCTCAAGGCGGGCCTGGGACAGGGGCTGCATGCTGAGGCTCATGAGGAGCTCTCCACCTCTCACGGCAGGGTCTCTGTCAGTCAGCGCTGGCCCCCTGCAGCCCACAGACTTGCCAGGACACAGCAAAGAGAACACACAGGTGAGTGTAAGGGAGAGGAAGGATCTCTGCGTGGGGCCTTAGATATAATAGAGTCTAATGTTCTTAAAGGAAGACAACTTGACGGATGATGAACAAATAGGCCATAATTGTGAATATTTTAGAGAGATTATACTGTTTTGTACTTGTAATTTTGAATGATGAATTTGGGGATAAAACCATGTTAACTGAAGAAAGATTTGGTAAATAGTAATTGTAGTGCTAGTTTTTTTTTTGTAAGTTTTGTTGCTGCAAAAGGAGTAAACATCATGTTTGTCTGTAAAATTGCCATGCTAATTGAAAGTAAATTATTACTTTGATGAAGTAATAATATTCCTGCTAAATGTGTACTGTATTGTGTTTGAAGTGTATTTTCCATGCAGTCATGTGTAAAGTAGCAGTGCATGCAGCATTTAATCAGTTAGCGCTCCTTTAACCACTTGATGTTGTCTTGGAAATCAGCCTGAACTGTGAAAGTGTTTATTCATTTAAACTCCATAGCTATTTCTAAAGCTAACTTCACTGCGGGGCTTGTTATGGACATCTACACCGAGCTGTTTTGCTTGTGACGAAAGTGTGTTGAACAGCTTGCAATAATTCCATAAATCCTGGCAGGGGGTGTGAGTGTTTTTCCATGACTGTGATTCCTTTATTAGAACTTACAAAATAACAGAATTTTCCAAGAGATCAAATATAAAGGTCGAGTTTATTAAAAAAAAAAAAAAAATTATCTTTGATGGCCAACACCAGCACATGTTGGCATTAGGTATGACTTACTGTGCCAAACTTCCATGAATAGGTTTCCGATTGTCAACAAAATCTTTTCTAAACACAAGCATTGTCTATGAATATTCTAAAGAAACACAACTGGACTGTGTGTGTGTCCATACAGACGTTATGGGTGGATGTGCGTAGTGAGTAAGACTAATCACAAGTCAAAGCAGAACCCACCTAAGCCTGGGGAAGAGTAAAGAGGGACTGTCAGAACTCAGCTGGATGCCACTACCTGGACTATTAGTCATCACACAATAGGAGCCATTTATAAACGCTGAAAAGAAAAAGAGATTGGAAAAATTAGTTATACTGCACAGGGTATCATTTTCATAACAACAGACAAATATGTAAGGAATGAAATGCATTTACAGATGGTTTCACACTCTGATTTGGTGCATTCATTCTACCTGCACAATGTTTAAAATGTCCCTTTGTGTCATGCAGTCAGATTAAATAAAGCCAAACAGAATTGAAATGAAATGAGAGTAAGTGAATAATGATGAATTTTCATTTTTTGGTAAATTATTATTTAAAAAAAACACTTATTATGTAGAACATCAGGTAGCTTGGGCAATAAATGAACACGCACGGGTTCACTCACGGGTACTAACAGGTTCAGGATGGTGTGATGTCCAGGTGACTAAGATCACAGGCTTTTTGAGCGTGCAAACGTGGCGCAAAGTGGCACCACTGGTTTGTACAGGTCTCTTAATATGCATCTATCATGCAGACCATTCAGGTTCTGTTGGAGCCGTATGAGTAGTAGTTGACTCTAAATTCACACCATACGTGGGTGCGGTTACTCCAGTTCTAGATCAGCTAGTTTATGGCTTAGTCAAACTGTACTGCTGCCAATACAGACACGTTGGCTTGCACGTTTTGGATGGATGTACGTTGAACAACTGTAGTTTCATAACGTGCCTTAAATGTCCACAATACTGTTATATTTCATTTATGTTAGCCAAGGGTGACTAATAAAATAAGCCTCATTTCAGGGCTAAGCTGGTGTATGGCTAGACATTAGAGGAGGTCAGCTATCATGTCTCTTTTATGACTGTACCTGGTGGGATTCTCCACGATTCCACCAGGCAGGGCGAGGTTGCCCACAGAGGAATGTTGTTGCTGTTTTAAGTGACTATTACTACCTGCTGTCTCTCTTTCACTTGGGCCTCTATTGCCTGGGGATTCGATTGGATTGGAGCTGTAAAGTCTTGTGTTCCACAGGGCAGGTCCCAGGGGTAAATTGATGGGAGGCAGGACCCTCATTCAGGCCCAGTGGGGGGCTACAATCGCAGGCCTGCCCTAGCCTTTGGGCTGCCCTGCTTCCGGCTGAAGAGGCCTCAGCAGGAAACGCTATCCCAGTTACACAGCCCAAGTGACACAAACAACACTATCGGTTTAGCTAAAGAATCAATCGTTGATAAGAAAGGTATATTACCTTATGTTATTATAAAAAAAAAAAAAAGATTGTTATAAACTACCAATCAAACCTTTGGTATATATATATATTAAATATTAAATAATATTATTAAATTAAATTATTTATTAAATATAATATATATTGAATATATATATTTTTTTATTTATTTATTCAAATGTATTTTAAAATGTAATTTATTCCTTTGATGGTAAAGCTGAATTTTCTAGTGGCCATTACTTCAATCTTCAGTGTCACATGATCCTTCAGAAATCATTCTAAATTCAGAAACCAATGATTATTCTCTGGAATAAATTAAAAAGTCTTAAAATAAATGCAGCCTTGATGAGCATAAGATACTTCCTTAAAAATATTTAAAAACTCTTAATTATTCCAACCTTTTGACCTGTAATGTAAATCTATTTTTGCATTTGATGGACGCATAGATATGCTGTGAACAAAAATAATAATTGTTTCATTCCCACAGGTGGAGCTGCTCCAGATAGAAAGGCATTCACCAGGCCGTTCCAGTCCTATGCTTTTAAAGGGGTATGATAATCGGCACTTCACATCCACATGTGGTCTTCCCCGCACATTCACAAAAAGTGCTGAAGGAAGAGATGAGAAACAGCACTTCCACAGCCTTGGGAATCTCAAAACAACAACAAAAATAGCCACGTGTAATCCCAAAAGGCCCAACATGGCAGGTACAGGTCACTGCGATTGAGTTTGAAAAGTTTAAGGTGAAGTCCTTAATCTCCAGTGTTCGGATGTAGTGGCTGAGAGGATGGTGGATCCTCACGTTTGTGTGTTTGTATTTCTGCTGATGTGAACTTCAAGTTCAAGTTTGTTACAATTCAAACATGTTACCATTCTGGTCCTGACTTCACACTAATAAAAGAATCCAAGCCTTTTCATCAATGCCTCTGAAAATCCTTCAATGAAAAATTAACTCTTCAAAAATATATTTGAACAATACCTTTAGGAAGCTCTTCTTTACTTTCACAGAAAACTTGAGAGAATATAATTATTGTCCATCGATTCCAGTCAAGCTAGATTTGACACGTTGTACAAAATACTTAAATTATTACACATAAAATGATATCTAATGCAATTAGCCATTGCAGGACAAAGGAGTCAGCTATTTCTATTTTATTCATTTAATAAAAACAAAGAATGTTATTTCCACCACAGAATACTTTTAAACACGACCCTCCAAACTACGAGTTGGGAAAAGTGTGTTTTAATATACTGATCCGACAGTGCCTATGTTGGAGAATATTTTAAAAATTCATAAGAAATAATAATATATTACTTCATATGAAACTCATCCTGTTAACACTGCACAGTCATAAAAGGTCAAACAAACGTCACAATCACAAGTACATACACCCAGTGTACTTCTAAATGTTGAAAGATTGCATGAGGACAAAATCGAAACGGAAACAGCTGAAGAGAGCAGGCATGTTCCAGCAGTGTTTGACAGTCAACGTGACACTGCGCCTAAACTCTTCAGCACCTCTTTGCTCTTTCCTCTGTTTTCACAGGTGTCTGTCGCTGGTTGTTTTAGGCAGAAGTCAGAGCATTAGACTGAGCGATACGAGGAAAGAGGTGGACAACCCACGTCATCACCTGCCCAGGGTCAGCTCTCGACACTGTTGATCCAACAAGGGCACAAAATGTACTTCCTCCACCCAAATTTCTGCATCTTAGTCATTAGAGTCATAAACCAGATTCATTATCCTATCTCAGGGGGAGCATTAAGGAAATTGTGTTGGCGCTGAAGCCACAATGTTCTTCGTGATGCTTGGGGGAACAGTGCATTTCCTCTGTCAACACTTTAACACCACACATGCTTCCGTCGCTTCACGTTTCTCCAGGGTGAAATTCAGGAAACAATTATAAAAAGGCTGCTGATCATTTGATGTTATGTTCCCTATGTAAAACATAATATCAAATAATCAGCTCATTTTAACACTTATTTTAGTGTTAATTTGTAAAGGTAGCCTACCTTTTAACTTTTTACTGAAATTATTAATGTTTTCTACATTTGTCCTTTTTGTATGCTCTCTTGCTGTAAAATTAATTGCCCTTCGGGGACATATACAAATAAACAAACATAATAAAAATGTATGCCTATAATATTGAACTTAATAAAAATGTGTACAAAAGGTGGATTAAAATACCCACCTGACCTATTTAATTCAATTTTGCCCATATTAGAACTGTTAAAAACTAGATTATTAAACGTTTTTGAAATAAGCCTCGTAATAAAATTACAATTTAAAATGGAATTTATTTAATTTTAAAAAAGTAATTTAATCCTGTGCTGGCAAAACTGAATTATCAGAAGCCATTAATCCAGTCTTCATTCTGAATTAATACAGTCTTGGAACTAAGGAAACATGTCGTCTTTTTAACATCAATGATGAAAAAAGTTATGTCGTTTAATATGTTTGTGGAAACAGTGGTATAGATATGTTTCTTTCAGGATTTTTTGATAAATAAAAAAGTGCAAAACAGCTTGCATAAATACTCACAGGAAATTTAAACATGCAAATAAGCACAATTTTTTAAAAAGAAGAAAATAAATAAACTGCTACTTCACTGGTCTTATTGAATAAACAATCAATCCAGCCAGACCAAAAATGTTACCAAAAATAAGACATTTTTAATTCTAAAAGAAAGAAAGAAAAAAACAAAACAAAACATCTGCATCTGTTTCTATCCAAGCCGTAAAATCCATGGGCTCAATAAACTTTGAAGAAAATGGGATTAAATCTGTTGACTGTCAGTTATATGACAGATCATGTCATAAAAACACCTCGTTAACAGAAATAACTCCTCTTCAAACTGTCAGAAGTAACACAGAATAGCTGAATGGCTATGAGTATGAATAGAGGCCAGAGATGTCAAAAGAAAGGTGTCCCTGCAGGCACAAGTGCACCGGCCCAAGAGGACATGATAAAGATCTGGTCTGGCCTGGACATTGCCATTGCAGCTCCAGGGCAAGACAGTAGGACGAGTAAATATGTGCCATCAGATAAACCCGTCTCTCCTGTTCCTCCACATTACAGACCCCACTGCAGGAATCTGAAGCACTGAATATAAATGGAGCCCACCTGCTCACAAAGCACCATCCGGCCTCCAAGTAAACATTTGGATCATTTTAGAGACACTTAAGGGACAGGAGTTCAGTTTGCCATTCAGTTTGAAATGATCTAAATGTTGTGTACTGTCACAAAACAGTCTGACATACAGTAAGAACAAATACCATGCATGTAGAGAACTGTTTTACTGCTGCTCTATGATCTGGATGAAAGCTTGGACCCCTGCTGAGACAATGAGATTCTGATCTTTAACTCACACACATCCGTCCCCACTCTAATTATAGAGAGAACAGGTATCTGAGAGGACAGTGACATCCTCTGATCATGCAGGACCTCCATCATGTCATGCTGGACACAAGTATTTCTGTTTGCTATCTAACCTTAGTCGTTCCTTCTTCACTGAAATAAATATTATTCTAGTAAAGAGCTTTCTACACTGCATCTGCTGTCTAAGCCACAGGTATTAGGACACTGTTGATTTAAATGTTAAGTACACAATTGGAGCAATGTCAATAAAGTGTAACAGATCATGTAGAAATGTTTTCAGTATGCTGCAAGCTTATAAGCGATTTACAGAGAGACAATCACCCAAGAGCAATTTGGGATTAATTTCCTTGCTCAATAGCACAACGTTGTCTTTGTGCTGGTTACCTTACTATATTTTACATACTAATAGTTTTCATTCCAGAGTTGGGAGTAACACATTACAAGTAATGTGAGTTACATAATCATTTTTTCTAGACTAAA